CAAGGTGACAGGATAACAACATACCTGAGTTAGTGTAGTCGCATCTGCTATCACAAATGGAACGTTCACCAATCGAGCCAAGGTCTTGGCAAGTAAAGTCTTCCCTGTCCTTGATATGACACCAATATACACAAGTGAAAAAGTAATATTTTTAACAATTAAGGATCATAATTTTAGCAGTGATAATGGCAAAAGTAAAGCTCTATCAATTCACACCACCCCACCCGCCCCCAGTCTACCACGAAAAAAAAGGGAATCCAAGATAAGTTGAGGGCTAAAAGGATAAAAAGAGAAAAGGAGAATGACGCTTTTAAATTACATGATCATTAGTCTTAACGCAAAATTCACGTGGCCCTCTCATCATCACAGTTTTAGCCTTAATATACACAGTTAAATCTGAAGTATCTATTTATCAGCGCACACGTTTGCTCTTTGACATTATGAAGCAGACAATGAGCATTAGCTTGAATCACTCATACCACCACTACAAGTAAATAGCACTTCTTACTATCTTTCAAAAAAAATTCACAACTAAAAAGAAAAAGAAAGCAGGAGAAAGAGAAAAAAGATTTCTCTGCTGATGAATCTAGAGTTCCACTACGCGACACGCGCATAAATCTACAATGCGATTTTACCACAATTCAGACTTCAAGAAGCACAATGGATCATTATAAAGTTTACCTGAACCTGTCGGCCCCATTAAAAGGATGTTACTCTTCTCAAGCTCCACGGATTCATTTTCTGCTCCATCTGCTTTTTCACTACTGTCATTTCCTGCGGGCCTATGTTATCACATTTAAAGAATAGCTTTAGAAGAGTAACAAAGGTGGCAAATGCCTGATCCAGGAATTTCCATTTCTGACTTCCTACGGTCCAAATAACTTTATAGTGCATCTCACAACTCACACGTCAAAGGTAAAACATAAAGTACAGGAAGGAAAACAATGTGGAAATTATGCAGTGATCAAAACTAACCACTTATGTGAAGAGTCATTATATATTCTCTTGTAATGATTATATACGGCTACAGACAGAACCTGCAATCACAAATTGAATTACAAAATGATAAAGGAAGTCACTCTTGCAGCTCAAGATAGTGTTTTTTTGCTGTATTAGTATTGTAATCAACAAAGAAAGCATAAAAACCACAAGCTAAACTATCTTTTTATCTACACTCAAAAGGGTACTCAGAATTATCAATTCCAAAAGATAAAACTTGCAAAAAGATTACCTTTTTAGCTCTCTCCTGTCCAATAACAAACTTATCAAGCCCTTTACACAGTTGCTTGGGTGTAGGAAAATGGGAACCTAAATTGGATCCACCCCAAGACCCATCTTTCGACCCGGAACCAAACCCACCTCCAGAACCCGGCCCGGGACCCCCCTCCCCTTCACCAGCCTGAACAAACTTGACACCTGGACGAACCACAATTCCCTCACCACCAGGTGGCTGCCAAATTTCAGGTGGGTCCCCCCCATAGTTACTACTAGAAGACATGCTGATTTTGCGTTTATTCTTATTATTCTTCCTATTTGAATAATTCTGTGAACTCTTGAATTCGCCAAGAAATGAAACAGGCTTGAATAAAGAAGAATTATGAGGAGCAGACGAGTTTGCGAGCAAATTGTCCCACTTGCTGGTTCGGGTACATAAATGGAAATTGGGAAAACGACCCGTATGAAAATCATTGATGATGAAGTATCTGAAGTGAGTTATAGCCATAGAGGCTCTGTGTTTCGATCTAAATGCAGCTGCCATATGTGCTTAGTTTAGAAAAGTGAAAATTCAGTAGGAAAGATTCTTTCTTTTATATGTCTGAAGAAGAATAGAATTTCAAGATTGGAGCTTTGTGGGAGAAGAGGAGACTTTTGTGGGATTTGGGAGATGACCCATCAGACAAAGAAGATCCGAAATTGAGAAATAATTTCGTGGGAATTTGGGATTGAGGTTTTTAGTAGAGAAGTGAACGAAGGAGGATTTTGTAGAGGAGCAGCACAGAAATATCCGAACAAGGAGTGAAAGAAGGCAAAGAAAATGAAAGTTTTAATTTGGTATGACGGACATCATTCTTTCCGGAATATCTATTTTTGGCGCATCTTGTATGATTCTACACCAAGTAAGAAACGACGTCGTACGGATTCTCTAAGTTAGGTAGGTGACGAGTGGGGGTGGGGGTACAATGGAAAAGGATTAAAAACAAATTATCACAGCCGATTTTAAGACAAATTAATAGGTGCAGGACTTGTATTTGTATATAGACTTTTCTTACGTAATCATAGTAAATTAGTATAGAACAAAGGTAGCATACCACTCTAATTCCACAAATAGAGTAGGAGAAGGGTACGCAAATATTATCTCCACAAATAGAATATAGAAATGATGCTTCTCATAAACAAATTGGTGATAGCTTAATATTGAATAAAAAAGATTTGGTTTTGATAACTTCACGGAGTACTAAATTCCTAACCTTTATTCAGATTCCACTTCTTTTACCAAATTTGTAGAGATTTTGGGAATTTTTCTCGATAATAATGGTGTTAGAAGCATTGCAATTGTTTCATTTCATTGAATACTTGTAATCTTTTACTAGCATAGATATTAAGTAATTTTGTTAATCAAATCAAAGCTTAATAAATAGGAAGTAATATTTTTCTTTCTGTTGGAATATAAATGGTAGTAGTATCTCATAATTTTCACCTCACTTTATTTAAGAATTCGAGTAGTTTTGAATTCAAGATTCTACAAATTCAACTTTTCACTTGAATTATATCTGTCATATATTCAACTTCTCTCCCTCTGCTCTTCTGATTCTCTCTCTTTCTTCCTTCATTCTCTCTTACCTCTGTTCTTGTCTTTTCGCCATAGGCTACATACAGAAAAGAACTTACCC